GGGAAGGGAAGGGAAGGGAAGGGAAGGGAAGGGAAGGGAAGGGAAGGGAAGGGAAGGGAAGGGAAGGGAAGGGAAGGGAAGGGAAGGGAAGGGAAGGGAAGGGAAGGGAAGGGAAGGGAAGGGAAGGGAAGGGAAGGGAAGGGAAGGGAAGGGAAGGGAAGGGAAGGGAAGGGAAGGGAAGGGAAGGGAAGGGAAGGGAAGGGAAGGGAAGGGAAGGGAAGGGAAGGGAAGGGAAGGGAAGGGAAGGGAAGGGAAGGGAAGGGAAGGGAAGGGAAGGGAAGGGAAGGGAAGGGAAGGGAAGGGAAGGGAAGGGAAGGGAAGGGAAGGGAAGGGAAGGGAAGGGAAGGGAAGGGAAGGGAAGGGAAGGGAAGGGAAGGGAAGGGAAGGGAAGGGAAGGGAAGGGAAGGGAAGGGAAGGGAAGGGAAGGGAAGGGAAGGGAAGGGAAGGGAAGGGAAGGGAAGGGAAGGGAAGGGAAGGGAAGGGAAGGGAAGGGAAGGGAAGGGAAGGGAAGGGAAGGGAAGGGAAGGGAAGGGAAGGGAAGGGAAGGGAAGGGAAGGGAAGGGAAGGGAAGGGAAGGGAAGGGAAGGGAAGGGAAGGGAAGGGAAGGGAAGGGAAGGGAAGGGAAGGGAAGGGAAGGGAAGGGAAGGGAAGGGAAGGGAAGGGAAGGGAAGGGAAGGGAAGGGAAGGGAAGGGAAGGGAAGGGAAGGGAAGGGAAGGGAAGGGAAGGGAAGGGAAGGGAAGGGAAGGGAAGGGAAGGGAAGGGAAGGGAAGGGAAGGGAAGGGAAGGGAAGGGAAGGGAAGGGAAGGGAAGGGAAGGGAAGGGAAGGGAAGGGAAGGGAAGGGAAGGGAAGGGAAGGGAAGGGAAGGGAAGGGAAGGGAAGGGAAGGGAAGGGAAGGGAAGGGAAGGGAAGGGAAGGGAAGGGAAGGGAAGGGAAGGGAAGGGAAGGGAAGGGAAGGGAAGGGAAGGGAAGGGAAGGGAAGGGAAGGGAAGGGAAGGGAAGGGAAGGGAAGGGAAGGGAAGGGAAGGGAAGGGAAGGGAAGGGAAGGGAAGGGAAGGGAAGGGAAGGGAAGGGAAGGGAAGGGAAGGGAAGGGAAGGGAAGGGAAGGGAAGGGAAGGGAAGGGAAGGGAAGGGAAGGGAAGGGAAGGGAAGGGAAGGGAAGGGAAGGGAAGGGAAGGGAAGGGAAGGGAAGGGAAGGGAAGGGAAGGGAAGGGAAGGGAAGGGAAGGGAAGGGAAGGGAAGGGAAGGGAAGGGAAGGGAAGGGAAGGGAAGGGAAGGGAAGGGAAGGGAAGGGAAGGGAAGGGAAGGGAAGGGAAGGGAAGGGAAGGGAAGGGAAGGGAAGGGAAGGGAAGGGAAGGGAAGGGAAGGGAAGGGAAGGGAAGGGAAGGGAAGGGAAGGGAAGGGAAGGGAAGGGAAGGGAAGGGAAGGGAAGGGAAGGGAAGGGAAGGGAAGGGAAGGGAAGGGAAGGGAAGGGAAGGGAAGGGAAGGGAAGGGAAGGGAAGGGAAGGGAAGGGAAGGGAAGGGAAGGGAAGGGAGGGGGAGGACCCACTGGAGGTCCTGGCGGAAAGCGCGTTCGGTGTCAAACTGGCTTAGGAAGAGGCAGTGGATGGTGTCTGGGAGGTCGAGCGTCTTCCGCAGCACTTCCAAATCCTTCTGGTTCAAGAGCCTGGCGTGGGTAGACACCTGCGGCCAAAAGGGAGAAGTGGTTTCAGACGGGTGGGATCCCCCCAGGTGGCTGCGTGGGTGCTCATCCCCAGGCAGCGGGGAGGTGCCTCGAGCTTTTCCGCTCCATGCGCCTCCCGCGGAAGGGCAGAACCTGCAGAGGGTGGCCGTTAAGCCCGTCATGGTCCTGGCTTAATTAATTAATTATTTAACATACCCCCCCCCCCAACAAACAGCACCCTTGGGTGCTTTCCCACCTGGAGGCAGAGCCCGGCGGCGCTTCCCTCCTCCTTCTGCTGGTTCATCGCCTCGCGCAAGAGGCTGGTCAGGCTGTTGTGCTTCTGCTCGATGAAATAAAGCTCCTGGACCCGCTCGGCGTCCTCCAGAGTGGAGTATTTCAGGCGGAGGACCGAGTCCGGAGTGGCACATTCCACCAGTTTGCTGGTGGCGGTGGTGAAGACCGACTGGTCGTAGCGTTCGAAGCCGCCGCAGCGGAGGCTCTGGGAACTCTCCAGCACGATGGCGGCGGAGGTGTCGTCGCTGAAGCCGATGAAGACGTCGTGTTCCTTGGGAGCGAGGGTGGGGGACCAGGCGCTGAACGAATCGGGGTTCTCGATGTGGACAAAGCTTTCGGCCCAGCTCTCCAGGTCCTGCTTGAGGTCTCGCTGCTGCCAGCTGAGGATGGTGGACATGTCCAAGCAATGCTTCTCCAGCCGGCTGAGCAGAGGGGTGGGGAACTGCGTGTAAACCACCTTCTTCTCCTCTATAACGACCAACCGGAACTCCTCCTTCACGCGGCTCTTCACCCGGTGCGTGCCGAGACCCAGGTCAACGTAATAATTCCCCCCCAGGCTAACGAAGCACTGATTGAGGGTATCGTAAAGGCTCTCGTAGAGGTTCTGGATGTTGAGGAGGACGACAGGCCGGCCCATCTCCATGCAGATCTTCACCCTGTTCACGGAGCGGCACACCTGGGAGTAATCCTGGTCCCGCGGGAAACCGGAGCCGAAGATGATGTCGCAGTTGCCGGCGTCTATCAGCCCGGTCATCTGGATGATCTGAAAGGCGGCGTTGTTGGTGGTCAGCAAGAGGAGGTAACGAGACATGAACCCCGCTCGCTGCTTCTCCATGTTCTCCTTCAGCAGGCGGATGCAGCTGGTTTCCATCTCGCGGGGAAGCCGCACCTCGCTGGTGCACTCGCGGAAGATTGCCACGGGGTTGATGTCTCTGGAGCCTCCGAAGTTTCTCTGAATGGCCTTTACGAGGAGCTCCTCTTGAGAACGGCACTTCCGGTCCTGCATGTAGGACACGATCATTTTGATTAAGCTGTAGAAGTCGCGCAGCCCGAAGAACTCCGTCTCCTGCCTTTGCAGCACGTTGTAGTAGAAGTTCGCCAGGATGGGGAACAAATCTTTGATCCTTTCAAAGTGAGGCTGGTCAGCACAGATGCCTTCAGCCGTCTTCACCAGCTCCTTCTTGCTCGGCTCAGTCCGAAAAACGAGGAGGCCCCGGTTCATCTTGGCGGGGTCCAAGGCCCAGTTGGAGATGCCCACAAACCCAACTTTCTTGTAATCCTCCGGGGTCTCATCGTCGACGCATCCGTCTTCCAGAAGAGGATGCAGCGTCTTCAAGGGCATGTCGGGCGAATCTTCGGCCAGGCCGATCTCATCCAGCAGCACCACGGACGCAAATTCATCCAGGTTCTTGCCCTTCTGGAACTGGGCGCATTGGCGGAAGGTGGAGATGATGCCTTCTGGTTTGGAATGGGGGCTGCACTGGAAGGAGACCAGCTGGATCTCTTTGCATCTTTTGAACAACGGGCTTCTGGACAACGTGCCTTCCATGGCGTCTACAGCGATGGTTTTGGAAAGAGATTTGGAGCTGCCCGGCTTGCCAACCAGAAAGAGCGGCACGCGGAGGTCCATGCAGACCACCATCATGAAGATGTTCTCCCTCAGGGCATTGTTGCAGGCCGTGGCCTTAGGAAGGGAGAGGTGATCGAGAAACACCTCTTGGCACAACTCAATCTCTTGCTGGAGCCGGGAGGCAGCGACCGAGAAGGATTTGGCGACCTCCTCCAGGTAGTCTTGGCGGCTCTCCAGGGACACGTAGTAGCAGACCCCCACGGACAGGACCAGCGCCCTTTGCGCGTCGCTCAAGGTCGGCTCCTCCTCCTCCTCCTCCTCCTTCTTGCACTGCCTCTTCTCGTCGATCTGGTGGAAGAGGAGGTCTCTTCGGTTATAAAACCAGAGCACTATTTTCATGCAGCGGGCGATGTCCCGCAGGCTGGCGACTCTGCATTCGTCCTTCCTCTCCCTCAAGAACTTCTGGGAGGTTGAAATGACGGCGGTGAAGACGTCCAGGTTTCCGGCAGGGATGTCTGTCTCCACGGTGGCTTTCACGATCTCCCTGATGTAGAGGCTTTGCGTCTTCTCATTCAGCTCCCCAAAATCCCAAACCAGGGGCAATAAACTGGGAGGAAGGGGCTGCACCCGATACACCAACTGCCGCAAAGGAATGTAACCCAGCTTCTCCGGGGTGTCTTCGCTCCGCACTCGGTATCCCAAACCCGCTTTCTCCAGTTTCTCGATGGTCTCCTGGGTGTGTTTCTTGTAAGGGTTGCAGGCGGCCACCACTTTCAAACGGTGGGAGGAAATCCGCATTCCGTTGACGCTGTGGTCACACAGCACTTCCTTGATGGCAAAGATGGCCTCCGAGGTGTTGGCTTCATCAAAGAACAGCACCGTGTCCACGTCGTGCGCTTCGTTGGTGCGCGCCAGCGCCACGGCCTGCCTCACCTTCTCCTGGATGGTCTTGGAGGTGGTGCCGCCGTGCACGCGCACCACCAGCATGTTCTGAAGGTCTCGGTCGGCCCGTTGCAGGTTGCACATGAACTGCACCAGTTTCGTCTTCCCGCAGCCCGTTTCGCCCATGATGATGACGGGGATGCCGCACTGGAACCGCAGGTGGATGGCCAACATCTTCATGGTGTTGTCCAGAGTCAACTGGTACGAGGGATCCGGATCCCTCAGGTATTTCACGCCGAAGACCCTGCAGAGGGCTTCCAACTGCTCGTTTCTGGGTAAAGTTTCAAATTTCTTATTAAAAGGAACGTTTTGCAGTGCCAAGGTCGTGTATAAACTCCTCGTCATAACCGCCCTCTCCAAAACAGTCTGGGAATAAGCATCAATAGCATCTAAGTTCGGGTTGATGTGGAAACCCAGAAACTCCATGGAGTCATCCTCAGCGTGGAAGACGATGTAAGGGTGAGACTCCTGCTCCCACTTGCGTCGGAGCTGATACTCCTCCAAAACACCGTCCGCCTCCTTCCGCTCCTTGCTGGGCACGCTCTCGTCGGACATGTTGAGGGAAGGCATGGCGAAGTCCTTGGACATGGCAATCATGAACTTGACGACAAATGTTTTGAAGCCGCTGAACTCCGCCCCGACCACCAGGCTGCAGAAGACCGATTTCTCGCACTTTTGGAGCTGGAAGTTTAAAAAGTGAGTGAAGTTGCTGAGCTCGGTCCAGGAGGGGCTGCTTCTCCCACAGAACTCCATCAGGCACGCCAGGCATTCCCTCTCCGTCCCTTCGATGCTCCCAGGGGTAAAAGTGAAATGGTCGAGGTTTATATTCTGCTTGTATCTGCTGAGATATTGGTAGGACCTTTGGAAAACGTCGCTTTTCAGCTTGGTCCGGTCAAACTGCTCCTCTCTCAGTTTCGTGGGAGAGACGGAGCTGGGGTCTTCCAGCAACTCGAGCACCCGCTGCGGCGATACACACTCCACGGTAGGAAAAAGATTCAGGAATTTTTCCTCCATTTCAAGGGACATCTAAAAGCCAGAGGACACAAATCACCACAAGGAGCCTTCTCCAACCTCCCACATTTGCCTACATGGCAAAAACCCTTTTTTAAAAAAAATTTTTAAACATTTTTTTTATTATTTCCCCCTGGTCACAAATGGTTTGGAAAGCTGGGAAAAAAACCCAAAAAAGTAGGAATGGCAAAATTTCTTCAAGTCTGCATGTGGATTGAAATCCCTATAACCCTTAAGGTCGGTCTTACCCTGGGCCCTGCCTTGGCTTGGGTGATCTCGTTACCTGCTCCTACGCTTTCCACCAAATCCTCGTGGAGATGGAGGGACCTGAACTCAGTCGCTATTCAAGGCACGGTGAGGAAACGCAGGCAGATGATCCACCAGTAGTGAATCTGGGTTGCATTTCCCAACTTTAGCAGCTCTAAAGCACGGCTTAACGCAAACCGGCTTTAAAAACAGGCGGGAGGTTCAAGCTACAGCAAAATTGGGATGAAAAAGCTCCCTTTTCCCTCCAAAACTCAGAGCGGGGCCTGATATTTCACTTTGAGTCAGGATGTGTTTGACCTTGTTGCTTCTACGTAGGTGAGACATCACCCCGCTGGGAGACAGACTCTAAACTGGGCGTCGCTCCAGCGGAGGCATCAGAGTTAAGCGGGTTTTACTCATGCTCAGCCTTAAAGGCTCCTCCCAAAATACCTCTTGCTTCCTTGTACTGCTCAGACCTTTCCCTCTTGCCAGGTACTCGATCAAGTAAAGATGGGAGGGTTTGCACTTCCAGACCAAGCCATCGGGGCTCTGGATGTGCCGCAGGACGCACAGGTCAATCAGCAGCCGGTAGAGACCCTTCGATACCTGTCAGGGAAAAAAAAACCACAAATAAACAAACAAAAAACCCCAAATTAAAATTGGCACTCGCTGCTCTGATTGGGCTGGATTTGAGTTTCCACCCCTTCTCCCTTCTGGTGCATGTGGGTGTTGTCTTGCACCACCTCTTCTTGTCCGGGTGAAGATCCGAGCACTCACCACTGGGGACACATCGATGTGGAAGATGATGGGCTGGATTTCGGACACGGATTCCTTGATGGAGATGAGCTCCTCCACGAAGAACTGGAAATCGACCTCCGACTCCATCAGCCGAATGGTTTTATGAAGCGGTAGCTTGTCCCCCAGCTGGGCACGGACCTTCCTGAGGGTGTTCTCCACAAAAAGAGATTTCCCTAAGGAGCGGAAGAGAAAACTGTGAGTCAATCCGCCCTTCTACACTTGCACGCGACCCAAACCAAGGAAATCTCTCGCTAAACCACAAAATCTCTCCTTAAAGTGTAGAATTTCTCCTTAAAAGCATAAAAATCTCTCACTGAAAGTGAAAAATCCCTCCCTAAAAGCATAAAATCTCCCCTAAAAGCGTAAAAATCTCTCCCTAAGAGTCAAAATCTTTCCTTAAAAACATGAAATCCGTCCCTAAAACTGCAAAATCCTCTGTAAAAGCGCAAAATTTCTCCCTAAAAGTGGAAAATCTCCCCTTAAAAGGACAAAACCCCGCTCTAAAAGTGTAGAATCTCTTCCTAAAAGGACAAGATCTCTCCCTAAAAGTACAAAATCTTCCTAAAAGCTCAAAACCACTCCTAAAACCACAAAATCTCTCCCTAAAAGCATAATATACCTCCATAAAAAGGACAAAATCTCCCTAAAAGTGCAAAATCTAATCCTAAAGGTGCAAAATCTCCCTAAAAGTGTAAAATCTCTCCCTAAAAGTGCAAAATCTCCCTAAAAGCACAAAAACTCTCCTAAAAGCACAAAATCTCCCTAAAAGTACAAAATTCCTCCCTAAAAGTGCAAAATCTCTCCCTAAAATGACAAAATCTCCCTAAAAGTGAAAAATCTCTCCCTAAAAGCACAAAAACTCTCCTAAACCCACAAAATCTCTCCCTAAAAGCATAAAAATCTCTCCATAAAACGACGAAATCTCCCTAAAAGCGCAAAATCTCTCCCTAAAAGCACAAAATCTCCCTAAAAGCACAAAATCCCTCCCAAAAAGCACAAAATCTCCCTAAAAGCACAAAATCCCTCCCTGAGAGTACAAAATCTCTCCCTAAAATGACAAAATCTCCCGAAAAGCACAAGAACTCTCCTAAAATCACAAAATCTCCCCCTAAAAGTACAAATCTCCCTAAAACTGTAAAATCCCTCCCTAAAGTACAAAATCCCTCCCTAAAAGTGAAAAATCCCTCCCCAAAAGCCCCAAATCCCTCCCTAAAGCACAAAACCCCGCCCTAAAAGCTCCGCATCTCTCCGTACGAGCACAAAACCTCCCCCTACAAGCCCGGTGGGCCACCTCGCTTCCTTCCTTTGAGCCCCAACCCAGGATCCGCCTCCCCGACAACTCACCCATTCCCGCCTGCTCCGAGAAGACGAACTTGACGTTCTGCTGCCGGGGCTCCTCGAAGGCCTGAGCCGTGGGGGCCGTCCCGATGGGCACCCTGAGGTGCCCCTGCAGGTAGCTCCGGATTTCCTCCTCCGAGTGCCAGGAGTACGTCACCTTGTAGGTGTCAAAGGCCGTGATGACGTAGGAGTTGTGAGCTTTAGCATTGCAGAAGATGACGAACCGGTAGTTGGGGACGCTGGCGGACTGCACCAGGCGGAAGAAGTGCGACTCGAGTTGTTTGGAAACTTTATAGTTTAATTTGTCGGCGCCCAGCAGGCAGTAGATCTTCTGGTCTCGGGAACCTGGGGACAGAGCCCTCCGGACAAGCAGCTCCACCTCCTCCTCCTCCGTGTCGGGGGTGCACACCAGGACCTCGTCGTACGAGGGGAGAGGGGCTGCCGCAGTGTGTTGGTAGATGAGCAACATGTTGGGTAGCATTTCCTCTTCCTTACACAGGATGAGAAGCGGTTTCCCCTCTTCGGAGCCTACGGGCAGGCTCCTCTCCACACGGGCGCTCTCTAGAGCGGCCAAGCGCTTCAGCGTCTCCCCAAAAACATCCAAACCGATGTATTTATCGGACACCAGGCCGGCAAATTTTTTACAGTAAGCGTCCCAGAGCAGGTTCACCTTGTCGTAAAGAGACGGCAAACTCTCGAAGGAGGCGGCCAACTCATCGTCCGCCAGGGCGCTGAAGGAAACCTGGTCGACGTCTCTGTTCCCCGTCTTAAATTTCCGTCTCTGCTGCAGGAAGGTTTCTCTCGCTTCCTCGTACAACCTGCTGAGCTCTTCAACCTCCTCCTGGTTGTCGCCGTGCTCGAAGGCGAAGTCCATGAGCATCTGCTCCGTGATGGGCGAGTTATTCAGGCAGCTCTGCAAGGCCGCCTTGGCCACCGCCTCGTCGTAGCCCGATTCGGCCAAACTTTTGATGAACTGGGGGAAACGGATGACGTAGTCATGCCAGGTCACTGATTCCTCGTCTCCCGCCGAGGCGTTCACCGAGTCCAGCGGAGTCATCAGCGCATCCCCCAGGGCTTTATTGATATCCTCTCCGCTGATGTCATGCTTGATGGCGGAAAGCATGATGAGCACCTGCGGTTCTACGATGCCTTTCTGGACTCGGGCCAGCTGGCTGCACAAATAGAAGAGCTGGTGAGCAGTGAACAGGTTGAGATGGTAGTAGGTGTCCCTTTGAGTCTCCAGGTACTTCTTCCACTCCACCAGACAATGCTCCATCACCTTCGAGAGGCTGTCCAGCTCCTGCAGGAGGGGTCTTGTGCTCTGAACAAGGATCTTGGTGATTCCAAACTCCGTGTAGACCGTCACGCGGTGCTCAGGGTTGCAGTAGATTTCAGCCTTCCAGTCGATGAAGAGGATGTTGCCAATGTTGAGAAGCTCCAGGTACAACTTCCCAACCGTTTCGACTTTTTCCAATATCTGTAACACGCCAAAGACACAACAGGGAGATGGATCGTGTCCTGCAGCACGTCCCCAGCAGCTTCCAACCACCACCCGTGGGTCACACTTTGCTCCAGAGATCTGTACAGTTGTAGAGTCCCCAGTACAAGCGAGATATGGACGTACTGGGGAGGGAAGATGATGAAGGGACTGGAGCATCCAGGTGCATGGCTGGCGCTGTACTCAAGGTTTGGGCTTCTGTGATCATGGACCTACCCTTGAGAAGGCAGGTCTGCCCTTGAGAAGTTGGGTCTACGCTTGAGAAGCCAGGTCTACCCTTGAGAAGGCAGGTCTATGCTTGAGAAGCCAGGTCTACCCTTGAGAAGCCGGGTCTACCCTTTGGAAGCCGGGTCTACCCTTGAGAAGCCTTGAGAAGCTGGGTCTATCCTTGAGAAGCCGGCTCTGTTGGGAGCTGATGGGATTCACCTGACCAACTGGGCTCTCTCTGCAGCCTCTCCACCCTCGAGCAGACCAACACCCCCACCCCACTGGGTGTCACCTGCAAACCGACCGTGGCGGCACTCGATCCCCTCATCCAGCTCATCAAGAAAGATGTTAAACAGGAGTGGCCCCAACACCCAGCCCTGGGGGACACCACTCGTGACCGGCCGCCAACTGGATTTAAGTCCCTGCACCACAACTCTCTGGGCCTGACCATCCAGCCAGGGTTTGACCCAGTGAAGTGAAGACATTTCGGTGCTGGATTGTCTCTGAAGAAGGGCAACGGAGCTGGTGAAGAACAAGTCCTGTGGGGAGCGGCTGGGGGAACTTGGGGGGGTTCAGTCTGGAGAAGAGGAGGCTGAGGGGAGATCCTGGCCCTCTGCAACTCCCTGCCAGGAGGGGGCAGAGAGGGGGGAGGAGTCTCCGGAGCTGAGGAACCGGTGACAGCAACACCTCTGCTCCCAAAAGACCAGAACTGCAGGTCACAGATGACTCCCCGGGCAATAACTCCAGCAAAATCCCAAGCCCAATGGCCACCATCTTTCAGATGTTGGTACCGCGCTGGGACTCACCTCCAAGAAACGATTTGCCTCCTCTCTGCCCTGCTCAACCTTGGTGGCGATCAACATCAGCTTGTTCTGGAGCTCCGTGAGCTGAGACAAACTGTATTTCTTGACCTTCTGGTCTGCTGGAGACTCGCCCTCCTCATCGTCATCCCTCAGACGCAACAAGACGCAATCCTCAAGCGTAGCCTGGGGAGCAGAGAAGACAACCGACGTCACCACGTGGCCTTTGAGTGGAAACACTGCACGTCGGGACTCTACGTGTCTTTTAGCGCTTCCTTTGGAGGAAAGGAAAGCCCGTTTTCTGCTGAAAATCCTCGGGGTTCAACAGAAAATTGGTGGTACCGGATGGAAACCCAACTGGAGATCTACTGGCAACCCGGGACGCTCATTGGAAGTTGATTTGAAGAACGATCTTTCCTCCCGACGGCGTTAAAAACTACAACTGGATGAGAAACTCCCCTGGAAACCCTTTACCTTGAATTTCGGGGGTGCCGAGATGGTGAAAATCCCGTTTCTGTTGATGCTTCTGGCTTGCGAGATGGAAGAACGCTCCACCGAGCCGTGAGAGTCGTGAACCATCTGGATCCAGTCTCTGTTGTCGCAGGAACTTTTCTGCAAGAAAGAACCAAAGGGAAACCCAGTGACCAGTTGGGAGGATGCTGAGCACCATTCCCCCCCCCTGCCCCATTCGATGCGGGTGGGGTTTCTGGGAGCGTTTCTCCCGCGGATGGGGTGTCCCGTTGCTTCTGAGGACACACAGCTCCAGAGTCGACCTCGGCCCACGCCCCGGAGCGTTGGTGTGTCGAGAAGCTCTCGCTCTCTGCTCTGGTTTTGGCGGGGAGCGGAGCGTAAGGCTCGGTGTCAGCACAAACACGAGGGGTTCTGTTAAACCGAAGCTTTTCTATCAGATTCTGAAATAGGTTCTGGAGTTTTCCAGCCTTGGAGATGCTCAAAAATCCAGTTGGAGGCGGCCGGGAGCTCCCTGCCCTACCTGACCCCATTTTAAGCAGGGGGTTGGGCCTAGCTGATCTCCAGAGGTGCCTTCACAGAATCATCTCGGTTGCAAGAGACCTTGAAGATCCTCCAGTCCAACCATAAACCTAACACCGGCCACTCTCAACTACACCACATCCCTAAGCGCTGTGTCAAGCTCAGCTAAGCTCTTGCCAACCTCAACTATCCTGTGATCCTCAACTGCAGGTTCCAGAACTCGTTTCCTCCTCCTCACAAGCCCTCCCGGATCTCCTCCAGTTGCCCACCCACGTGTGGAAGGTCAGAGGAGACGTTCCACCAGGCTTCCACTCCAAAAAAAAGGTCAGCCTTTGCCCGGGTCCCACCAGGCCCCCGTCAATGTCCTGGGGAAACCACCTTAAATGGCATCTAGCATCGGATGCACAGCTCGGCCTCGCATCAGGCACCCAAGTGACTTCTGGACGTGAGGTTTGAAGACTCACCAGCTTTTTGGGAAGCTTACTGTCCTTCTCGATGGCTTCTCTGATGAAAGACAGAGCGGCAGAGAACTCCTCGAAGCCAGCTGTGGGAGTCAGGTCTAACACGATGGGGGCAGAGGCAGACATGGCATCCCGGAAGAACCTCACTCTGTCGATATCCATGTCGTTTTCACCTGCAGAAATCGATGCCAGCTCCACAAAGACGGGGATTTCTGTCTTGTCTGGGAGGGGGGGAAATAAAAGAAAGAAAAGAAAGAAAAAAAAGAAAAAAGTTGAGGAATTTCTCTGCTCTGATCCATCTAACGCCGGGTTGGATGCGGTGACAGACAAGGCCCAAGTGGTCTCCTCTTGCCGTGTCCGATTTCCTTCCTTCCAGCCCACCTTTTATTATGGTCTTGATCCAGGAGGTGAAACCTTTCTTTGCACATTCCAGAAGTTCCTTCAGAAAGTCCAAGACTCCCTGGGGAATGTCACTCAACCTTTTTTTCACCTTCATTAAGTCTTCAGTAATAAAATCGAGCCGCTTATCCTTGAATTCCTGCTCTTTCTGTGTAAAAACAAACAAACAAACAAACAAAAATTTAAAAATGTGTTTGTGGGGAAGAAAAGGAAGGAAGCCTCCCTCCCAAACAAGATGAAATCTTGGCCTCAAACCCAAGTCTGCTCGTAAATTCACCCCGGTAGGCCTCCGTGATGGAAAGGGAGAGGCAGCTGGAATGAATTCCTTCAGCCCATCACTCAAGATTCATTAAGGAGGAAGGAATCGCACCCGATAGGATTTACTTATCAGCTACTACGTGGATTTTCCCAGGAGCAACCGCCACAGGCGCCCGCGCGTCTCCGAACCACCGAATCCCCTGGGTTGGAAAAGCCCTTGAAGCTTCTCCAAGCGCCACCGCGCGGCTCACGCTGACCCTTCCCAACTCCACCAGATCCCTCAGCGCTGTCCTACGTCCCCTACGTACGTATGCCGTCAGGTCGCTGAGAATCTGGAAGTCCCCCTCCAGCTGCAGCTGCTGCCTCAGCGCGTTGATCATCTGGGCCGTCTGCACCACTCTGGAGAGCGTCAGGAAGTTTTCGATCCTCTCCACCACGGTGGGGATCCAGTGAGCTCTTCCGCCCCCCCGCCCTTCGCTGCGCTCCATGAGATTCAACTCCTTCTCCAGCAGATCCTTCTCTCCCAGCAGCCTCTCAAAGTGGCTCTGCACCGTCCCCAGGGTGATGGAGAAGTCTTTGAGGGACGAGTAGGTTTTCTGAAATTCGGCGAGGGCTGGCTTGTAAATTTTTTCTTGAACATCTTCCACGGAGAGAACGTGATCTTCGGGTATGGAGGCTTTGATTTCCTCTGCTCTCATCCTCCACAGCCGACAGAAACATTGGCTCTTCTCCACGATGTAAAGTTTTTGCATCATGTCGCTATAACCCGCCAGGACGTGCGATTCCGTTTTGCTCTTGCCGTCGAGGGAGAACTCCTTCACCGACATCTGATTCTTAAAACGCTCCTTGTCCGTGATGCTCCTCTCCACGGTGCTTCGATCCACTAAAGCGGGTGGGAACAAGAAGAAACTCATCTCTCAACAAGAAGGAAACAGTCTTGGGTCTCTCCAACAAGCCCTGAAGTCAACGGCTTCCCCAATCGCGTTTCCTTCCCACCCAGTGTGAGATTCTTTGTTTTAGGAAGCATCTCCCCACTCAAGAACCAAAGAATCAGTTGCAAGAAGCTCCGTTAACCCCACCTGTACCTTTTATTATCTCCTCTATGCGACAGCACAGGCAGAGGAAGGAGCATCGTTGCTTCTTCAGCTCTTCCAGTTGACCAAACTCCTGCTTCCTGACCTTAAGCACTTCTGTTATACAGTTGAAGAAAGAGGAATCTGGAAAAAAAAAAAAAAAAAAAAAAACCCCAAA